CAACCCTGAGGTTTTGGCATTGAGTTCAAGAACACAGTTAGGAGTCATTGCACCTCCAAGGACAGGGAGAACTGAAATGGAAACAAAGGCCTCTCAAAAAACAGGGGAATAAATTGATTCATTTTCTAGTGCCAAAAATTATGCAGTGGGAATGCATTTTAGCTAGGAGTGTGTTAGGCAATGATCACAGCTGGATAAACTTCCAGCTGAAGTTGTGCTCCAAAAACCACTGAATGTGATGGAACTCTCCATTAACTTCAGTGAGCTTTTAATCAAGCTCACGTGATTAAGTCAGACAGCAAGACTTAAAGACAACTGAGGAAGTTTGGAAGATAGTAACTTAAACTGCACAAGGCCAGAAGATCTGTAAAAGACAAGTGTCAGTGAAGGGACTAATTAGGGGACATGAAAAGTTCGCTCCCAAACGTCCTTTAGTTGGACTCAGGAATTTCATTATCTTCTGTGATGACAGGATTCAGAAAGTGCAAGCAGTAATCTGAAGCAGTTTCTAGCTCAAGCACAGAATTTCTGTCAGCTTTTTTAAATGCTTGGGTTTTTGCTTAGCAATACCACATGGCCTATAAGTAGTCTTTCTTTTTTTTCTTTTTTTTTTGAGTCTCTTGGGTTTCTAGCTAGTCTAGGTTGCTAGTATCAGGACTTCTAGCATCCAAGCTCAAACAAAATGGCAAAATTAATTTCAGCATCAACTAAGGCATGTCCCCAATACATATACCATTCAGTCTCCAAGTTCTTGTTCTTTAAAACATAAACTGAAACAAACAAAACTTATTTGTTTGTGTCCTGGTGTGCTATGTGAAACATCATGCTCATAAGCTTACAAAATTCTTTGCATAAAATATATTCTTTTTCAGATAAGTTTCCATAGTCCTAATGACAAATAGAAGTAATTCCAATGTTTGCATGCTAACATTTGCCTTCAATTAATTTTACTTGCTTAGTATTTCTGGAAAACAAGACCAGCAATAATATTGTAGACTGACAGGAATACAGTAAACCATTAAATTCAAGACTAAGATTCAGAAACAAAGTGGTTGGAATTTTATTGGTCTTATAAAACAAAAAAGCAAATCTACAGACCAAAAGATACGAAAGTTTCAGGCCCTAGGTCTCAGTATGTCTAAACCAAGTTAGTTCTGCAAGAATGAAGAAAAACATGAATAGAATAATTTGTTGTAGATAAGCATTTTCCACAATAAAGAATACAAAAATTGGATCTTGTGAACAAGTGAAAGCAATGTAGAGAGAAAATGCTTTGTAAATGAAGAAGACATGTTAGGAGTGAAGATTTAGCAGAGTAAATCTTAAATTGCCAAGTACAGCAGCAAACAGAATACTTGAAAGTGAAACGATGTTAAAATGCAGCAGCATAAAAATTTCCAGGAGCAATAAGAAGACAAAATTATGAATTTTGCTGCAGAAGATACAGCCATTTGCTTTGTTGTCAGGAAGCAGCATACACAGGCATTGCAAGCAACTAGATCACTAACCTAAGGAGTAAACTGAGGCTACTGACTTGAAGAAAAAGTATAGCAACAGGACACCAGAGAGTGTGGCATTTCCACTGTGTCCTTTCAGGGAAGAAGATACATTTTCAGTGGGAAGGGACAGTGAATAAGGAAATTAAAAATATCTGATTTAATGATTCAAGACCCCTGTTTTCATAGAAGCAATTCATGTTGAACCTTCCCTAGAAAGAAGCCTATCACCCAGGAGTGGTCATAGTACTGTAAGACACCACAGACTTGACTCAGCTGTCAAAAGAGCACATGATACCTAGTGCCATTTGGTATGTTCCACAATATCCTACTATTTACCTGTCTTTTAACAGAGCTATTGCTCTTCTACCTGACAAACCCCGTTAAACACCTTGGATTTTGTGGGCTAGCACTAGAAATTTGATGTTGAACATTCAAGTTATTGACAGGTGGCTTAAAATTCTAATGTGCTTTCAGTGTCTTGTGCAAATTTGGCCTTCTAGGATGGTCTTCTCATTGGAAAAAACAATAATGTGGAAATTACATAAAGCAAAGGGAATAAAATTTCCTGAGCACAATGGAACCTTATACATGAATTTTATATCCCTCCATAGATGTGGAATGGATATTCTTGTTTCCTAACTGCTGATATAGGACATCGATGGTATAAGGAAGCGTATTACATTGAAGAGCTGGAAAAATGCTGAAAACATTCTGAGAAACTCATGTATGTTGTACAAAATTCTGGTAATTTAAAAGTAAACACAGAATTAAGTAGGAACTGATAATAAAGAAAAAGAGATAGCTTGACTTATGCTAATATAGTAAAACCTCTTTCTGGTGTAATAAAGCACATGATATTACAGTGTATGCCTGTCATTTACAATATATGATACATGTTCATATCTATTAAGGAAGAAGCATTTCCTCTCAGAATGAAAACATACTGGAAAGTATATATTCCATGAGTATTGCCTCAGAATGTGTACCAGGTGATACCCACAGTAATGGAAATTCATTAAATGCTATCTCATACAATAAACCACAAAAGAGAAATGTTACGTATAGGAAAAATCTTAACATATAACCCAATTTGCTTAAGCCTTAATTTTGGACATTGGGAAATTTGCATTTATAGATCATCAGGTCACCCAAAAGATGTTTTCCAGAATGCAACTGAGAACATTATCAGTATATTGTAGGAATAGTAAAAAAATTGCAGAGAAATGGTAAGAAAACTGTGATGTGAATTGTCATTTTCTTATAACAAATCTTTGTTTGACCTTCCTAAAATTTGCTTCAGCAAAATCAGATATAAAGGTGTTTGAAGTCTGAGAAACTGCCAGGGCTGAGGTCTCCAGTTGAGGACAGAAGCTGTATTACCTCCCACAGCCCCAGAATGCCACTGCCATTGGTCGGGGTCTAATATCACTGGCTCTGCATTCTGAGTAACACCATCCCATTTGAGAGAGTGGAAGCTAAAGGTAAGATTTGGTCCTTCTCTCTTAATTGATTTTTTTATCACTGGAAATAATTTTAGAGCATTTGTTTTATTTTATCATGCATAATGCTGATTTAAAGGCTTGCAAATTGTGCAGATTATTTATTTTTCCCTGGATATGCCTTAGTTCCTTCCTGTGAAAGGCATGCATAATCTTCATCAAAATACTTGATCTTACAGCTACTGCAGATGCCAATATCATTACAGTGCATTCCAATACATTACACTTAAGGGAAATAGTGACATGTAAGCACTGTATGTTAGTGCAGATACTGTAGCCATAGGTAAATATTTTTTTTCAACATATTTTCTGGTTTTGTATATATATATATATAAAATTACATACTTATCAAGCCCTATGCACTTTAAAAACCTTTTATTTCTAGGCAACTTTTTAAATTTAGGAATTGTTTATTCAGAGGAAAAATTGCACCAGCTATGTTAGTACTATATTCTGGGTTAATAGATGACATCCTTTACAGCTGAATCCCCTGGGGTAAATAACATGCAAAAGAAAAGCAAGACCAAAACTGATCCTGTCAAAAATAGGCAGCAGAAAAAACTCAAGACGTAGCATACTTGTTTGTTTCCAAGAATGACTGCATTTTTATTTTTTTCAATTAAGTATAATTTTTTGTATTGAAGCAGAATACCTTTAGTAATATTGAAAGCTAATACTGAAAGGTGCAATTCTTCTAAGCCTTCTCAGAAAAAAGCCCCAGTGACTCCCAGCAGCAGCCAAAGTCTTTCTGAATAAAGCAAATAAGGGAAAAATGAAGGCCTTGTGTTGCTGACCATCCCCAGAGGAATTTCATATCCTCATGCCTAAACCAGCTTCATAAAGATCTCGTTTCATGAAGCTAAAATTCAGCTTGCTGCTCAGCACACATGTATTAAAAAAATGTCTCTTGAATTTCTTATACTTAATCTTTTATAAGTAGCTACAGTTTTACAAGTAAATATTTAAATTTGTGTGTTATGGCATCACATCAGGAGTGCAATTTATTAGACTTATGCACTGCTCATTATCACATTATTTTGGTGAAATTAGTGCAAGCTGTATCTACATCAAGGTGTAAGTAACCTGAATAGAGCCTTGTGCCAGGCATCTTATATGATAATACTGACTGCATCACTGACAAGGAAAAGGGAATGCATAAACACTAATGTTCAAGTCTAGCATGAATTTTCTACCTGTTTACTAAATCTGGAACTTTAAATGGGTGATACTTCAACTTTACAATTCTGTTCTCCAAGGAGAAGAGGTGACTCTACTACACTATCAGTTCTCACTACTTTAAAGATGATGTTGATTGAATAATGAAGGAATTGAGAGTACTGTTGCTTATAGGGCTATGGAGGACACATATTATTTTTTATTTTCCTCCCCAGACCTTTGCAAAGATATTGTCCAAATATGCCACACCGTTTAACCAAATAAAAATATATTCTGATAAACAACTAATGGGTGTAAAGTGTTTTGATTATGCTCATCCGTAGACAACGGATTTTCTAATGTTTTCAAATTGATTTTTGTTTTGGGTTTTTGGTGGTTTCTTTATTGTTTATGGTGGAGGAGAAAGATATAGTTACATTGTATTAGATTATTTATTGTGATAGAGAAATATAATATAATAATTTAGCTTTTCGCTAGTTTGTCTTGTCTAATGCTGCACCGAAAACAGGTGAAGTTAGATGAAAGGGGTAAACCACTGTTCAGGCCGGTTTATTTTTATACCAATAAAATTCAATAAGTCTTTTCTAAGTTATTTGAATGTTAGTATGGCTAAAATAGTCTGCAGAAATTCTCATATCCAGGGACTTTTCATGAAGCAAATCAGAATTAACCACCAAGTTATTATGAATAAATACGAGTTATCCATCAGAAATATTGTTTTATATATACATAAGTACTGTGTAAGATTAAATTTTCATAGATTCCTTGCAAATACCAGATTACCCAGAATCTGCCCATTTGCTTCTCTTTCAGGAAAGCAAACAGAATGCAGACCTTTGTAAATGTTTTTCTGGGATTTTTTATCTTTGAGTCTGTTGGAGCTGCACCAATCACTGATACCTTAATTTATGATTCTGAGTTCTATGACATACCACTTGGAGAGCTGCCTCACTCGTTTGCCTATGATGAAAACAAGCAGTCTGACCAAGAAAAGGTAATTAAAACTTCATTTATTCTGTCTTTGCAAAGTGCACAAATGCAGTGGCTACTGATCAGTTTTTGTTGGCCATGAAAACATTTATCAGACAAATCTACTCATGCGGTTTCTATTACATTTGTAGTTCATTCACTTTGTCCCTAATCTACAAACATAGCCAAAATATATCCTGATCTTTTGGGGTTTTTTTGTGGTAATCTCTGGAAGTAGGTGAAAGGCCTCGGGTCTCTGTGCATTGCCACAAATTCTGGTGGAGATTGTCATTGTGATTTATACGTCTGGATGATGCAGAGGCAGCTGAGTCCAGCATTTCCCATTAAATGAGCATGTAAAATGCTGTTTTCTTAGTTTTATTTCTTACTCCAATATATATGATCAATGCAAATATTTCAAGCTATAAATGCTAATGTTTTCTATTTCTGTTAGGAAAGTGGGCAGAAAGAAGAAAAATAGAAAGGGGAAACACAAATTTTAAAACAGGAAAGTAAGAAAAATGACTGAAGAAAAACTGTTGAAATTCTGCTACAATAGGAGATAGTAAGATGTGTTGCCTATACAAGCAGAGACTCCACTTGTTGACTTAAATGCTTCCTTCCCCTCCTACCTTCATTTATTTCTCTACATCACTAAAAGGCTACATTAATTTTATTCACACTCAGCGGCTTAGGCATAAGCACAACTTCCCTGAAGGTGATACATGTACTCTGTGATTCAGGACTGAGTATGACAGAAGTTGAGTTAACGATATAACATTTAAATAATAATATGGTCTTCTCATTTTTATACGTAATATTTTAGCACTTTTTCACGTAACAGTACATAATTCATACAAATACATTCCTCTGAATGATTCATGATTACAGCAGGAGGGACAGGAGCTAGTCTTTCATCAATGTGAGATCAAAATTGGATAGCAGCTTTGAAATCAAAGGACAGAGACAATTTAAGACTAAATATATCCCAAAACTGAAGAGCTGAAGAGATAAAAATAATCTCAAAGATTCCACTAAGATCAGAACCTTACAGCTTGTAGGAAATTAATTTTCAGTCTGAAGAGGACTGAGAAGAACTTTGCTCTAAAGAAATTAATTTGTCTTTGACCTGATTCCCTTCTGCCACACAGAATCAAAGCTCTTTATTTACCCATGTTCTTGGGCTTTCTTCCCTGATAAAGTCACCCCCAATTTTAGCACTTTTGTACTTCTGCTCTCTCTATTTCATATTGACTAATAAGTCATACTTCCTGTCTCTCTTTAAATTAAGAGAATTTTAATTTAATTTAATTTAATTTAATAAATTGCTCTTTAAAATTAAGCCTTTATCATTTCTACAGAAATTACTTCTTTCCCAGAAATGGGAAAGGCTATTTTGCATGTGCCTCACCACAGAGTTTTTCTCATTCAAACAATATGTTTCTTAATAAAGCATTCAATGGTAGGTGGGACTTTCCTGTGCTATGCTCTCTCTGTGAGGTCCTATGACACTAAAGCATGGGGTGGCCCTTATCCAAGTTTCTGAGTGAATGACAGAGACAAGGCAAGGCTCCTGTGCTCTTTTTCAGCTGAAAGAACATTCAGAATGACTGATGTTGCCCGCACCAAGAAAAGATGCAACAGGTCTTATCACAGGTTCCTTTTTTTTAAGGAAGCATGGGATAGGCAGAGTCCAGAAAGATTATTCATATTGTCTGGTAAGCTTCTTTTCCAGAGCGGGATTATCTCCCATTACTGAGCTCTTCAGATAGCTGCCTTAAAATTCATCAAGTGAAGGTCATCCATCATAGCAGTTGAACAAAATTTTACTTAGCATATGGATGGACCTCCCTGTAAGAACCCTTTTTTCCTAGATGTTCAGCCAATTTTTTTCAGTTTTTTTGCTTACATTCCATGTACCACCCAAGAGAAACCTAAGCATTCACAAGTCCCCATATCCCAGGAAAGATGAGTGGTCAGTGCTGTAGAAATCAAGCAGCTTTTATATGTGTGTCAATACACTATTTTATAATACACACCAGTCTTGCAAGTTATATTTTAGTCACAGAATGTTATTGATGTCACTCAAGTTTTAAACAGAATACATTTGATTTCTTGATTGTGGTTATGACTTTCAGCCCTACAATCTTGTTATCATAAAGATGTGAACTGCACAAATGGGTCTCTGTGTAAAACCCAATATTTATGCAAGGTCACCGGTTAGTTTTTATTATGCATAGTTTACATGATGAGCAATACCACAGAGATCCAGACAAACAGCAGGCCTTCAATAGATTTAGCCTGTGTACAGTAACTCTTTAAGGCCTGCATTTTGACAGCTCTGAATCATCTCTTTAGTCTTCTGAAATGTTGGAGGAAAAAAAAAAAACAATTTTCTGTTGTTGCTGTTTCAATTTAAGACTTTAAAGTTCAGTTATGTGCCAATAGGAATCATCCTGCTTAACATGTTTTGATTCCTTGGCAAAACACAAACTTTACCAAGGTTGAGTGTCCAAATGATTTTCAGCAGGTCCAGGAGACCAACTTGTTCTAGGACTTCAGATGTTTTTGGTGTGTTACTCCCATTAATTTCAATGTGAATTAAGCACCTGTGCATCTTAAGGAGTTGAACTAAAGCAACTATGTCAGTATATCCTTTCCAGGCTGTTACTCATTATGTACTGTAATCATTCATTCAATGTGTAATCACCAAAATGAGGTAAGAACTAGAGGTAATCAGCGAGGGATTCTTCCCACTCATTCTATCGGGCTAAAATTAGGCTTTGAATCCCAAGACCATCCTCCAAGACAAGTATGAATCATTCTCTTGGGTTGCGGTGGGTTGACCTTGGATGGCTGCCAGGTGTCCATCAAGATCCTTTCTCACTACCCTTTCTCAGAAAGACAGCAGGAGAAATTAAGGTTAAAAAATCATGAGTTGACATAAAGCCAGTTTAGTGAAGAAAAGCAAAGGTTTCATGCAGAAGCAAAGGAAAGCAAAAGATTGATTCTCTACTTCCCATCGACAGGTGATTTCCAAACACTTTTGGGGAAGTAGGGCTTAAGTAATAAATAATAAAGCCTACCCCTCTGCCCTCTCTGCCTCCTTTCTATTAGCATTCATTGCTGAGCAGATGCCATATGGTATGGAATATCCCTCTGCTCAGTTTGGGTCAGCTGTCCTGGCTGTGTTGCCTCCTGAGATCTTAACCACACTTGGCCTAATGCTGTTTGGAAAGACAGACTTGGTGCTGTGAGAGCACTGCTCAGCAGTAGCCAAAACACTGGTGTGTTGTCAATCCCTTTCTAGCCACCAATAGAAAGCACAGCTTTATGAGAGGTGCCATGGGGAAAGTTAACTCCATCCCAGCCTGACACCATAGACCTATCTGCCTGAAGTAACTTCCAATGAACCCTAAGGCACTTGCAGGCTTACTACCAAAATTTCATATTAATATAGTTATGGTCAAAATAAGACAACTTAAAATGAAAACCTATTACCAAGGAAGGAATTCCAAGGTCCTAAAGGAGAAAGATACTGCAAAGGAAAGCCACTGTAAGTTAGTGTACAAGCTTTGTGTTGGATTTAACGTGTGAAACTGATAGTAACAACAGTATAAACATGATCTTCTGTATCATCCCTTTTCTTCACAGCAAGTTTCATTATTATTTTCAATTAATATTTCTTTGTGATAGAGTCCAGAGGCCCCAGTCAAGACTGGGTCTCCATTTTTCCAACTGCTCCTCAAGCATATACAAAGACAGACTTCCTTCTTCAAAATGGATACAATCTAGCTTCTCACTTTTTCCCTCACTGAAACGAAAACTTTGTTTGGAAAACGTGTGAGAAAAGCAAATTGTGGAGAAAGATTCTCCTGTACATCAGCTATTAATGTCTAATAAAATGACATTGCAAACTTTTTCTTACAGTGCCTGCTAAACCTAATCAGTCCATTTTCCTTTAGGTAGGAAAAGCTAAGTTAAAAAATTAAGAATTGAACATATAGGAGCATACCTTCATCACTAAGATAGGCTATCAGTGAGGCTGAGAAGCAAAGGAGCACTGAATTAACAGTGGTTATCCTAGCACAGAATAAGCAGCAAAACAAGAGAGTTAAATACAGCAGTGTGAAGGCCTAATATTTGATGCTGCACTAGCTTGTTGAATTTGCATCAAACTAATAGTAGGTCATTTGAGTGCCAGCACAAAGCAAAGCTCTGAACTGAGTTACATGCACATGCATTTGGATGAGATTCTCTAAGTAATTTCCTGGTCCAAAACCACTTGAATTGATCTGTCTGAAGCTCATTGCTAAAGAATAGCTACCATAATGTTTGAAATACTTGTGAATGAGGGGACAACTGAAACTCCAGTGAGATTACATAGACCTTTTTCAGTAGATAGTTGCTACTTTGATTTCCCTGCTCCCCCAGAATTAGTTCTATGGCTTGTTCCAGAAAGATGTGTATCCTCCCTAGTGATGTGCAGTATGAAACAATGATACAGATATTTAGAAAATTAATCCAAATTCTTACGTTGTACCCATTGCTATTTTTTTAACACTGTCAAGTTAAATAACATGCACTTCTGTCCCATTTAAAAGTCACTTAAGATAACAATAATTTTAGAGCCAACCAAAACAGAAGCCAGTGAATGGTTTGGTACAGAGCTCAGAGGGGAAAGTGCTGTGGTTCTGCTCTGAGTTGTTTCTATCTTTGTTCATGCTTAGTGATTATCTAATGCACAGGACATTAATATTCCTTTGAAAAAGCTGGGTCTCAGTTCCTTTCATATTCAGCTACATAATAATGTTTACTGTCTCTTGTTTTCCTTCTGCCATGAGTTTTGCCTCTTTGGATGTATTCCAGCTTTGTCTCAACATCACTTCCAAACTTTCCCTGGCCTCCATTTGATGATTAGGATGTCTTCTGGAACAGAGGTCTTTAGGATGCCAGCCTCAGCCTAGCAACTTATGTCAGTCAGTGCTCTTGCTTGGAGGAATAGAGAACCAGCACCTCTGCTTT